AAGTCGTATTGAAAAATACAACTTCCAAACCCTCTGGCCCCAAAGTGGCAACCAACCAGGTGTTCCTTTTTGGCAACTGTAACCCTGGTTTAAGCAGCCATTTGCTGCCTAGCTGATCTATCTGAGTTTCTAACACTTGGTCCAGCCCCTGACTTCAGGCAATACTGCTTAGTTTTAGAAGGTCACGACGACATGTCGCTTCAGACAGACCATGCCCCTGAATCTGTTTTTTGGTTTCTTTTTAAATGCCTCTGTCTTGGATTTTCTGGTCTTGCATAATCTGGAGCCATTTGCTCTCCAGGTAGCTTTTCCCAAATAGGGCACACTGTGTTCAGGAACTGCACAGACTGGACTGGTGAGCGCAATTGAATCTGACCTTTGACTTAGCATTTCCCATAAGCTCGCTTAATGTGCTGTTTCCTTGCTTAGTGTTCAGCATTTGTGTTGTTGTTGTTTAGTCATGTCTTACTCTTCGTGACCCCATGGACCAGAGCACGCCAGGCACTCCTGTCTTCCACCGTCTCCCACAATTTGGTCAAACTCATGCTGGTAGCTTTGAGAACACTGTCCAACCATCTCATCCTCTGTCGTCCTCTTCTCCTTGTGCCCTCCATCTTTCCCAATATCAGGGTCTTTCCCAGGGAGTCTTCTCTTCTCATGGGGTGGCCAAAGTATTGGAGCCTCAGCTTCACGATCTGTCCTTCCAGGGAGCACTCAGGGCTGATTTCCTTCAGAATGGAGAGGTTTGATCTTCTTGCAGTCCATGGGACTCTCAAGAGTCTCCTCCAGCACCATAATTCAAAAGCATCAATTCTTTGGCGATCAGCCTTCTTTATGGTCCAGCTCTCATCACCACTGGGAAAACCATAGCTTTAACTATACGGACCTTTGTTGGCAAGGTGATGTCTCTGCTTTTTAAGATGCTGTCTAGGTTTGTCATTGCTTTTCTCCCAAGAAGCAGGCATCTTTTAATTTTGCGGCTGCTGTAACCATCTGCAGTGATCATGGAGCCCAAGAAAGTAAAATCTCTCACTGCCTCCATTTCTTCCCCTTCTATTTGCCAGGAGGTGATGCCCCTCCTTTTTCACGTGCTTTTGGCATTTGGGACAGCATAGATAGCAGAGGCCCTTAGGGCCCAAAGTGACAGGCCGAATGCTTCTTTGTACAAACAGGCAGTGGTGGTGCTTTATCGTCTATGGCATTGCACTCGAACATCAGCACATTCTGTCTCGATGTTTTTTCTGGCATGCTGGCACCTTAGGCTTTATGGGCTTTGTGATTTATGGCGGCATCAGTTGTTTAATCACAGTTGGCCTTCCCATCCCTTCTCCTGTTACTCTGTTAGCTACTTACATGGAAAGGTAACTATCTGATCTAATTATGGCATCTCAAACCTAATTGCAGAGTCAAATATGATTCCGTAATCTACTACCTAACACCTCGGCTTTGGGAAGACAGAAATGACACATGCGTCTTCTTTTCACATGCCTCGAGAGTTCTGGGTGTGCTACTTTGAGTTGGAGAATGGCATTTCCAATTTCTAAGCAGCACCCATGTGACAGTTCTATGGTTCAGGCCATTGAGATTTTCGAACCCTCCTTCAGCGTTTTGGATGCCTTAGCAAAGGGTGGCGGTAGATTGATGGATCGAAAGAAGACTTAGAATTTTGATTGAGATACAGTCATACCTCATCCACTTCATATTACGTTCTTTCAGGTTACGTCCTGCGGTGACCTGGAAGTACCAGAAAGGGTTACTTCCGGGTTTCGCCGCATGCGCAGAAGCTCAAAATGACGCCACGCGCATGCGCAGAAGCGGCAAATCGCAACCCGCGCAGACACACCACTGCGGGCTGTGCTCTTTTCATGTTGTGAACGGGCCTCCGGAACGGATCCCGTTCGCAACTAGAGGTACCACTGTAGTCCTTCTTGGCACTTAATTTTCCCTTTGAAGGCTTTATATGAGTCAGTCCTTCTGATAGTGATTGATTAAAAAGGTGATATATATTGAGTAGGAGAATATGCAGGCAGGGCAACTAGAATGAAGAAAGGTGATGGAGCATCTCTCCTGTGAGGAAAGATGCAAGCATTTGAGAGTGGCGGGAGACTACTATGGAGAGAGATGCGAGATCTTCATAAAACATGATCAGTGAGAGGAGAGAAGGAGTTGAAAGGGACTTGAAGATCAAGTAGCACAGCTTCATGTGCAACCCTGATCACAGAATATTTCAAGCAAAGGTTAGGTCTGCTGCCTCCCTCAAGCTCTGATTGGTGCTCCGGCTTGCTCCAGAAAGTCCCAGGTTCAGTGCCCAGCATCTGAAACTCTGGAGAGCTCCTTAGACAGTACAGTGGTACCACGGGTTAAGTACTTAATTCGTTCCGGAGGTCCGTTCTTAACCTGAAACTGTTCATAACCTGAAGCAACACTTTAGCTAATGGGGCCTCCCGCTGCTGCCACGCAATTTCTGTTTTCATCCTGAAGCAAAGTTCTTAACCCGAGGTACTATTTCTGGGTTAGCGGAGTCCGTAACCTGAAGCCTATGTAACTTGAAGCGTATGTAACCCGAGGTACCACTGTACTAAACTAGATGGACCTAATCTCCCCCCCTCTCTCTCTCCCCTTGGATTTTCTCTGCTGTTCCCCCTTTGACCTCAACAGACCTTCTGTCTCAGAAACTTAAGAGTTCCTTCATTTTGAGGAAGGAACATCACCAGCTACCCATCAAGCAAACGCTCGCTTCCTTCCCCCCTCCTGATTTAGCTCTGTGGCTGCTCCCTTTTTATTACCTCATTGTGTCCTAAGGTCTTCATTCCTTCTGCCCACAGCTCTGGCACAGCCCAAGTTGAGGAAAGATGGGGATTAGAGGTGGTGAAACAGCCTCTTTGAAGCTCCCTAGATAGACACTATTATTCAGGCAGGTGGATTAAGTTTTCATTGATAGCTCAGGCGTATGTGCCAGGGCCAGGTGAGAGAGACAGGAGTTAGTGGACACACCTTATAAAAATATCAGTGCAAGACAATTATTTTATTGTTTAATAATAATAATAATATCTTTATTGTCATTACCCCCTCTCGGGGACAATGAAATTACTTGACTGCTCCATAAAAACCCTAATTAAAACAATACAGTACAGTACAGCAAGGAAGATTAGATGACTTTCAAAGTCCAGGCTTCCCATTCAGGGCTGAGATCGCTCTGGAGAAGAAGCTGTTCTTAAGACGGCTCGTTCTTGTCTTCATCATCCTGTATCTCCGTCCCGATGGCAGGAGCTCGAAGAGACAGTGACCAGGATGCGATGGATCTTTTACTATGTCCAGTGCCTTCCTATGGCACCTTGTGGCATAAATCTGCTCTAAGGCGGAGAGTGGGCAGCCAACAATGCTCTCTGCTGCCTTAACAACTCTGCCCAACCCCATCCTGTCCTGGGTAGTACAGCTTCCGTACCACACACATAAGCCATAAGTGAGCACGCTCTCAATGGCACAGTGATAGAAGGCAAGCAGCAGTTTCTGCGGAAGATGGTTTTTCCTTAGAATTCTCAAAAAGTACAGTCTCTGCTGCGCCTTCTTCACAAGCCCCCTTGTGTTGACACTCGTTAACTTGTGTTAACCAAGAGTCATTGTAACATTGTTTACCTCTGATGGTAATTAAACATGCATTATCCACATTTAAGGACCAATTGATTTCTTATGCTCCACCTTGATCGCTGAGATCTTCTGGTGAGATGCTTTTGTTGGTCCCCTACGCCACTCAGGTTCATTTAGCGTTTACCTGGGATTGAGTCATAGAATAATAGAGTTGGAAGGGACCCAAAGGTCATTTAATTCAACCCCCTGCAGTGCAGGGGTCAACTAACTCATGTTCACAATGCACTCACACCTAACTTGGTTTGGGCGGTCTGCTCCAAGTATGAGACTAAGATATAGTTGTGGTTGCTGGATCCTTTCAGTAGCAACTGGTTCAGTATAGTAGAGGCGTCTTGTCTTGAAATCTCAGGGCTGTGAATGCCTTGTGCAAGGAGTTAGGTTGTGGGAGGTAGTGAAAATTTGCAAATCACAAGCCACTTAATATAAAGCATGGGGAGAAGATGATGTTTGTGTCCATGAAAAACCCTGCTGAGTGTGTCTATCTTTGTTTCAGAATGTAGCCTGGGCTGCTAGTTCTTTAATGTTCGAAGACCCAGGTTGTATTATGACATTCAACTTTCGGATTTGAACCCTCTGCCTCTGTGCAGATGAAAGAGTTAAGTAGGGCTGTACACATTGGAAGTGTTATGATGCAAGCGCTGACCTCATCCCAGGTGAGGCCTTGTTCAGGACTCGGGCGAAATGCTAGACAAGGTCACATCACTATGCAAATGTTGTAGAGAATTGCCACCTTCCCCAAAACCACCACAGTTGTCTGAGGGGTGGAGGGCAGTGGAGTTCCCTTCCCCTTAAGTCAACTCCATAGCCAGAAATTGTCTGTCGTAGCCCTTACCATAGTAAGTGACTACAGTCATACCTCGGTTTACAGACGCTTTGGGTTGTGTGGTTTCGGGTTGTGCACCGCGCCGAACCAGGAAGTACTGGAACACATTACTTCCAGGTTTTGGCACTTGCGCATGCACAGAATCGCTAAATCACACTTTGCTCATGCACAGAAGCACCGAATCACAACCTGCGCGTGTGCAGACGCGTGGGTCGCGGGTTGTGAATGCTGCAGGTTGCGAACGTGCCTCCCGCCTGGATTACGTTCACAACCTGAGCATCCAAGGTATTTAGTAAGTCTCCATTTGCCCAAAGAACAAGTTTATATATTTGGCAGAAACAAGTGAATCAAGTTTCTTGGACTGTGCCATTTTGAATTCTAGGTGTGTGTTTGGAATGTCTGCTTGCACATATTCATGTAAGCTTGTAGGATGTAAATGAATGAATGAACAAGCCCAAGTTGACATAAACCTCATTATCAGTAGCTGCTGAAGTTCTGACAGCCTTTTTCCTTTCTGTTTTCTCCCCAGTTGCAGATCTGAATGCTTCTGAGCTCGTCACAGTGGTTGGACTATTGGGACTCTAAGAGACCTTAACTGAGAAGCTACCATTCCCTTCTTGGGGCTTCCCAACTCTTCTCACCTTCCCCTTCCCCCCTGTGTAAAAACCCCATGGACCGGGGGGTCGCCATGGAGCCAAGGGAGAATTCGGGCACTTCCCGGCAAAGGGGAGGAGAGTCGGATTTCCTGGGCTCCTCCATTGCTTCTGCTAAGGCCCCTGGTGGTGCCCCTGGTGGTGCTGGGACGGAGGCCATGCTGCCTCAGCCCGGCTCTGCCAAAGGGATCCCTGTGAGCAGTGACCGGATGGAGCCCGAGGAAGAAGACGAGCTCTGTTCTGGGAGAGACGTGGATTCCGCTTCCAACACAGACAGCGAGAAATGGGTGGCCGGAGACGGCTTGGAAGAGCAGGAGTTTTCCATCAAGGAGGCGAACTTTACAGAGGGGAGTCTTAAGCTGAAAATCCAGACGACCAAGAGAGCCAAGAAGCCCCCCAAGAACTTGGAGAACTATATATGCCCTCCCGAGATCAAAATCACCATTAAGCAGTCAGGGGAGCAAAAGCTTTCGAGAGCTGGGAAAAATAGCAAATTAGCGAAAGAGGAGGACCGGTCACACTCCAAGAAGAAGGTAAGAGAATCCATTCCTTCTTTTCTCTCCATGATCCTCATTTTTTTTTATATTATTATTCTTGCATCCGCCGGTGTCCTGAATGCAACATTTTGCCCTTCTCTGTCTTGCTAACTTTAGGGGATCTCCTTTGTCACACGAAGTCAGCCTTGTTTGGTTCGGGAGTGAACGAGGCAATCTGTGCACCAAAAAGGTGGTTTTTTTTTTTTGCAATCTAAATATGTGACAACAGGTGGACGGGATAAACAGATGGAGGTGGAGAAAGGGGGATGGGTGGGCGTAACAAGACAACAGGGAGAATGCTATTAGCATAAGCGGCTCCCTGGCCCCCTGCACACCAGCTGCCTTGCCATTGTTGGGGGTTCAGCTGAAGGGTGTTTTAAAGAGCCATTTGAAGGGCAATATAATGGCCCTGTTAGTGTTATGCACACAAAGGCCGTGCCTTTAAGACCGGGAGAGCTCGTGCGGTTTAAAGGCTCCGGCGTGCAACTGCAGTCTCTGTTGGTGTGCGTGTCTCTCTTAATGGCCTCTTTGCATCAGAGCAAGTTCTAACAGGCTGTGTTGACAAGGAAGGGGTAGATATAGGGAGAAGGTTTTCCAGAAGCAGAGGATCATTTGGTTGTTCCATTAGCAAGGTCTGCATTAGGTGGATTGTGTGATGTTTGCTTTTCTTTCTTTTTCTTTTAAAGAAAAAAATCCAGTTGTCCATGGATGGGGTGCTCTCTGCAAGGCAAAAACTTCCAAGTAGATTTTCCAGGGAAAGCCCACCCTACCCCAAATATCATTTCAATTGTTAGGGATTTAAGACAGAGGTGGAAGACTTTGAAATGAGGGACAGCAGAAGTGGTTCTTTCTTTCTTTCTTTCTTTCTTTCTTTCTTTCTTTCTTTCTTTCTTTCTTTCTGAAAATGTTCATTTTTGGCAAGCCACAGGTGGCGGGATTTCTGTTTCAAGTACTTCCTGAGAATACGCAGGAGCAAGGACTCATTCCATGGTGCGTTATGGACGTGGGGGGATGTTTTATTCTGTAGAAGAGGAATCTTTGGGAAGAAAGTACATTTCTTAGCAATCTTGCAGACCCTTGGAATGACAGCCGACTTTCAGAAGGTGTTTTGCAATTAACATGTCTGTCTGCGTGCTGAAATTTGAGGAGCGGGGGGGGGGGGATAATATGCATCCCTTCAGTAGCTCTAATCTAGTTGTACAGAAGGGCCTGGGGTGAGATATTTGGAAGAGGATTGCCACTCAAGTGAGCAACACCACTTTAGATGCACCGTCAGGGTGAAGTTTATGCAGTGCACCTTATTATGGAAGGCCGCTGGATTAGCTCTAGAGCACCGAAACAGCGTGTGGAAGCTCCACTTGTCAAACCAGCCTTGGTCTGGTTTGGTGTGCTTCCACAAGGGTGAGGTCTAGGATACACAACGAAATCATTCTAGATGCCTCTCCTTTCCCAAATCTGTGGGGGCTCTTGAACCTTCAACTGCTGCAAAGGAGTTGAGAAATTCAACAAGTGTCACTTTCCTTATTGTGATACCTTCCATGTTGAGATGGAGCTTCATCTGTGGTATTGTTGCTTGCAGCGCAACAGTCAGAGGCAGAGCAGCCATGTTTTTTGTTGGTGGGGGATATGGAAACTTGTGAAGCATCCCTAATTGTGGGGGACATCTCCGATTTGATTCTTACCCCTCACAGGATGGGGAAGTATTCAACTGGTTGACTGCTACTTATTGCATAACTGCTAAAGGTACAGGAGGGACGTGGGTGGCGCTGTGGTCTAAACCACTGAGCCTCTTGGGCTTGCTGATCGGAAGGTTGGCGGTTCGAACCCCTGCGACGGGGTAAGCTCCCGTTGCTCTGTCCCAGCACCTGCCAACCTAGCAGTTTGAAAGCACACCAGTGCAAGTAGATAAATAGGTACCACTGCGGTGGGAAGGTAAACGGCGTTTCCGTGCACTCTGGCACTCGTCACAGTCCTCCGTGTGCCAGTAGCGGTTTAGTCCTGCTGGCCACATGACCCGGAAAACTGTCTGTGGACAAACGCCGGCTCCCTTGGCCTGAAAGCGAGATGCGCGCCACAACCCCATAGTCGCCTTTGACTGGACTTAACCATCCAGGGGTCCTTTACCTTTTTTTTTTACCTTAAAGGTACAGGAATATTGTCTGTGGGGAAACCAAATATCAGTTAATCAAGATCTGGATAAAACAGAAGGAGAGTTTGGAAATGCAAGCAGCAGGTTATTGAAGACAGGCATTGCATGCCTACTCGGAAGTAAGTCCTGCTGAGTTGAGTGGAGCTTACACTTAGGTAGGCACGTATAGGATCACAGCTTGGGGATTTGCTTGAGCCAGGGAGTTCTTGTAAGGTTCCTAGAGAATCAGGAGGCCAGGCTGGGAACCAATCAGGGTTTGAGGGCGCTCAGAGGATGTATTATAAAAGATGACACGTTTCCAGGGACTCGCCACTGGACCCAAAGCAGTCAGGCTCCAGCTTCTCAGGGGATATCCTCTTGGTTGCCAGCCACTTTTGCGCTGCTGTGTTTCAAGACGCAAAGCAAACACATTAAGGAACCGCTCTCCTCTGTTGCTCTAATTGCCTCAGGGGTGTTTTGCGATCATTGCAACCTGGGAAGAGAAGGCAATTGGAGAAGGCAATCTCCGCTTCTCCCAAGGTGTGGCTCCTCATTAGAAAAATATTTTGAGAATCGCTGGTGTTGTGGTTCTGAGGTGAGTTTATTTTTAGGCAGTAATTTGGGGATGACTGTTCTTTCCTTTGACTGCCTTCTCTCCGGAGAGCGAAGCGGCTCTGCATGTTATGATGATTGCTGCAGGGAACGTCAGTGCGCATGCATGTTTCTCATGCACATACATGCGTCTGGAAATACAGGCCCAGACAGGTCCACGTGGCTGTTTAAAGATGGATACGGCATAATGTGTCTGCTTTGGGAAACATTGGTGAGGGCCCCATGTAGTGACTGTAACATGTGAGTCTGCCCAGATCGTTGTACCTGGGGCCATTTTGCACAATCTGCTCACTTTTGATTTCTCTCCGTTTCTCATTGGTCCAACCTTATGCTCAGTTCTCTGCATTTCTACACATTTATATTTTTTGAAGTCCTCATGAAAATTTCTCGCCGTGTTTGTGCAGATTTCTCCTGATGTATGCAATTATTATGCACAATTTTGTCTGATACACACATTTTTGCAGGACAGTTTTTCCCAATACAATGCATATTTCTATTATTATTATTTTTGAAACATTTAGATGAAAACTTTCCCAAGCATATACATTTTCTGTACACGCTATTTGGCTGGAGAGCTGCATTGCAAAATCTGGAAAGATGTGACGATCAAAGGCTGTCTGTATTTCGGTTTGTGTCTTGTTTTAAAAACTGCAGATTATGTAAACTCACCTTGAAATGCTAACTGAATCACTTGTCATTGGCCATGGTACTTTTTCATCTTTGTATGCAAACTCCTACCATCAGAGCTGTAATTTATGGCTGTCCCATGGCTCCCACATGCGCAGAGGATGCTGCCTAGGAAAGCAGAAGATGCCCTGCTGTAGCTCAGAACCATATCTTTCCTGCATGAAAAGGGGGGATGTTTGAAACTCACATTGTTCTAGGCGCATTTTGCGACAGGGAATTTCCTTAGTGTGAGCAGTTTCTCAGCTCCAGGCACAGTGCTGTGCCTAAGATTTCAGATTAAAACTGCAGAGTGGAAAGAAAGGAAGACCTTTTTCTGCCTCCCCACTTCCAGCCACTCTCTGAAGACTGGAGAAGAGACCCTCTTAAGAATATTAGGGGGTTGGGCAGGGGAAGGACTAGACCATGTTAAAAATGAACATCATATTTTAGCTGCAGTTCATACATTTTCAGCACCGTATTCTTGTTATTAAAAAAGCACACCTAGACACTCTGTTGTTGCGCCCATAACCTAGGTTTAAGGTGTCATTTAGCACATAGTTTTCATATCTCAGTTTCTAACGCTGCAGGGAGGTGACATTCAGGAGTAAATCAGTGGTAAATGGGCCAATGTGAATGTTCTCCTGGGTTCCATTATCCAGATCTTCTCTCCCTTGCTTTTAAGATGTTTCAGACTCTGATTATTAATTTGATCCTGCTTTCTAAAGGATAAAATAGACATTTTAATAAATTCCGGTGCTCTAATGTCAGGGTGCATCTGCACTGCAGCACCAATGTTTTGGTGCTCATGCATGAAACTTGAAATGCAAAAAGCAGGGTGCGGCTGGACTCTTAAAAAACCCACCCACCCTAAGTGACCACGATCCAGGATGATGCAAGCCCTGTGCAACGTAAAGTCCACCATTTCTCTCTATCGTCAATATTCCCACAGGAATACTGTCTCTTATTTAGAATGACTTTGCTAAAGTCGTCCCCCAAATCAAAGGGGCTTTAATCTCCCTTCCCTAAACCTGATACAATATGTTAATTTCAACCGTTTCAAGGTTGTCTGGGCTTTAACCAACCAAGCATGAATGGAAGGGACCAGATTAGTCTTCCAATTTTGAGCTTCCCGGATTCTGGCTGTTATCTATAAATGGAAAATTAATGCAATCTTTGATTTAGTACCCAACTCTTCCAAGACAACCTACAAGTAGGAAATCGGGGCCTGTAAGTACCTCTTTCCACCCTGTTTTTGATGGGTGTGTGTGCACCAGGGTCAGAGTGCCCTATGCTTCGGGTGTGCATGAGCCTGCCTACCTGACCAGGGTTGTCCAAGATGTGGTCTGTGGACAACCAGTGTTTTGCAAGCTTCCTTCAGGAGGCCCACAACTTGAAATAATGTGAAAGACAGAGCAAGAGGAAGCAGTGTGTGTGTGAGAGAGAGAAGACAGTCAACACAGGAGAACAAAGGTGAGCAGGAAAGACCTGAATTGACCAGGAGGCATTTGAAACACAAAGGAATCATACAGTGTCTAGCACAGTACATTACAATAGGGACATGGGTGGCACTGTGGTCTAAACCACTGAGCCT